CGTGGTAATGCTTCTGTGCTGACAGGAGGAGGGCGAGGAGGTGAAGAGAGTTGACGTCATCGCCTTGAAGCTGAAGAGCCTGGCGGACGTACCCCAGAGCCTCTGGGATCTGGTTTGGAACAAAACCAAAAAGAATGTTTAAACACGCACGCACACACACAAGCACGCACACACGCAGAGCCACCATGTCAATATCTGGTTCTCTGTAAACATCAAGGGTTGTTTTAAAGGTAAAACCTTGTACCACATTCAGATCTTAAGCCAAGTCGGTATGTAAGCCCCAGGACATTAACCGCAAACATGGAGACAGATGCTCTCTTCCTGCAATAGTCTAATCAATGAAGTGACACCAGAGACCTTGTTTCTCTGCATAACTGCCAATACCAAATCTTTTATTTCTCTCTAAGTAAACACTTTGTCTTTTTCCACAAAACTGATCTACTTTTGATTATGCCTAATGTAAATTCACTATAAATGGACACACATACAAATTGCCGGAGGCTTTTAGTGAAATTAAACTGCCTTGGCTGAACCGTTCTCATTTTTCAAAGTATTACTGAAATTAAAGTGCTTAATAAGTTATAAAACTTTACCAGAGCTTTCCAAATGATCAGACACCTGTGCTTCTTTGCAAGCTCCTTCGTCCTAGATCTCCATTAGACATCAAGGAAATATGCAAACAAACAAACAAAAACCCCACACCTTCCCAAACTACAGCCCCAAATAACTCGATCCAAGAAACAAATTACAATGCCACATACAAAGCAGATGTATCCAAATTCAAGTAGAATCAGACACAACCTTAATCTTCAAAATGCAACAGCTGAGTCTACAGCCATGCCACCCTAAATGTGCCTGATCTTGTCCGATCTCAGAAGCTAAGCGGGGTCGGGCCTGGTTAGTACTTGGATGGGAGACCACCTAAGAATACCAGGTGCTATCGGCGTTAAAAAGAAAAAAAAACAACAGCTGTTGAAGACTGTCTTTAAAATCATCCAAGCACCATGGTTGATAAAATGCACACGTAATGAATATTACACACCCCAGATTCCATGCAGGTTTAGCAGTCACTTGGGAGAATCAGAACCGAAGTTGGATTTTGAAATAGAGCTCGAGATTACAGCTCCTCACACAGCTGCCTCTGGACTCCTTGCCTCAGCTCTGGGCCCATTGTGGACTTCCTCTCAGGTCTTCTTCCTAAACGCTCAGCAAGCTCATGCCTTAGTAGGCGGTCACGACTTCCGTTTTTTCCAAATCTGTTAAGTTTTCCTCTCTGAAATTTGGCTTTTGGTGGATTTAAGTTGTAAATGCTGGCTATACAGGCTTTTTGCTTTGAGCCACAGGATCACGAGGATATCAGAGCTGGAGGAAAGATCATAGCCTGGCCCAACTCTTCGTTTATAGGGAGGAAGCTGAGTCCCAAGAGGGGAAATGACTTGACCAAGGTCACTCAGGGACTGAATGACTGAGAGTGGCTCTAGATCTTCTGATTCCTCTCTCATCCTCTCCTAGTCAAATGGCATTGGCTCTAAACATAAGAGGGCCACAGTCCCCCTGCCCACGGTCAGCAGGGAAATACTGCCGCAGAGGTCTGGTGTTGTCATACTGCGTGCTACGAAGGCTGCTGACACCCACGAGGCTCCATTCGCTTATCCATTTCTCAGGGTGCCAACTCACTGTGTGAACGGCACTCAGCCTGGTATTGTGGGGAGGGTCAAAAGGCAGGGAACACTCGTGGTGTCGATTTGCAGGAGGATAAGAGCAATCAGGGACAAACTGATCCAGGGATCAAAACGATGTCCTTAAGGGAAAGCTAACTTGAAGGAATTCAGAGCTGGTCCCTTCATTCGGCGAGTGCCCCTGAGTGCCTACCACCTGTCAGGCAGTGTTCCAGCTGCCAGGGTAAAGTGGTGACATGGGTTCTTGCCTCATGGAACCTCGAGCCTAGTGCAAAAGACACGGGACAGGAGAGCTGAGCAAGAGGAAGGAGAAGTGCAGGCTGCTGCAGGATGGAGGCTCCACGGAGCCGGAGAGAGAAGGTCCTGGTGGAGGACAGAGACCAGATGGCCAGTCCCCAGCCCACAGCTGTTGCAGCAGTAGCTCTTGCTTAGTCCAGCTGTGAGCCACACCATGCCAGGGGAGAGGACCTTGCAGAGGAGGTATCTTGGTTTCCTGAGTCCCCAGGTCGTCAGTGGGAGCTACCTCTCAACACCATTCCCAGACCTCCGGGAAGTCAGATGCCTACAGCCCGGGCCTGCCAGGGGAATGGCATGTCTGGGGAACTGACCTTTGATTCACCCTCCGGTCAGCACTCAGGAATGTGCTGGGGTTACCACCAGTGTCTTTGCACCTGGTGGGCAGGCAGGCATGTGGCCAGAGTCTCCAGAACAGCTGGGAGGGAACGGGAGGTGATAAGAATGGCAAAGGCAACTTCTGGAAGTTACCGTTGGGAAGAGGAAGAGCAGCAAAGCCTGCCCCTCCAGCAAGAACGCTCCTGAGTCTCTTTTTTCAAGGAGCCGCTGCATGTAACTGTTCATATCTTCCATGGGTTTTAAAGAAACTGGTGTCTTTGCCTGCTGGCATCTTCCTGTTACCCTTATGGCAACCAGACCCCAACCAGTAACCCCAACCAGAATCCCCACCATGCTGACAGCTCAGGACTGGGCTCTGTTGGCAAGGGACATGGCTCTTTGATGGCTCCTGGGTTCAGGGGATATGCCATGTGCTGCATCCATGTCACCATCGGACCCCAGGTTGGGCCCTCCAGATCCGTGGACTGAAACTTCAAAAGCCAAGCCTGGCACACCTGTGTCTTCACAGCTTATGCTCAAACTGACCAAAACACTGGGGTCTTTACTGTGAGGAGCCAGAGCCCTCTAGGCAGAGTCCTGGCTCCAGGTCAGCCTCAGACAAATGAAGGACCAGCTACCTGCTCACACCGAGGCGCTGAAGGAATGGTATCAACACAGAAGGTGCACCAAGTTTGGGAAGCATGAGAGAAACTGACCTGTCTGGAGATGGCAAGCTGCAGGGCCAGGTAGAAAGCCGCCTGGTGATCTGTAGGTGACAGGCTGTGGGCCCTGGAAAAGTTTTTATGACTGTTAGTACCTGGAAGAGGCCATTTTTACTTTCCCTATTAAAAAACGCATTCACATTTGCATTTTTAGACCAAGGTCACATATTTAACTGTTTGTTTCATTTAGACTCTCCTCTTTTGTTCACTAACAAACGTATGCATTTTTCCACTCCACTGTGTGTAGACATGACGCAGGAGTCAGTCTGGGCCCCTGAAGTGGCAGCTGGTGATCTGCAGCTTTGGGGAAGAGCCTGGGGGTGAAGAATCCACAGGCCCTGAGCTCTGACTGCATGGGGCCCCTGGGCAGGAGAGGCCCACGTGTCACGCTGGGACGTGGTAAAGCCATGAGTGTACTTGGCCAGGCGACAGCAGCTTTGGTTAAGTTTTGGCTTGGCTTTAACGCTGTTTCATCCAAATTTCTGGATTGCAGAGAAACCATATGAAAATCAAGACCTGGCTTTGCCTGAAAAATGAGGTTTTGGGTTCTGATGAACTATAGGGAGAAAAGATAAAAAATACTCTTTCGGTTTTTTGATGTTTCTACTAAGTTCCATGCAGCTTACTAATTTAGTCCATGTAACTTTGACATGTAAGACTGTGTAGCCAAACACGAGGTTTAGTTTTAATAACTGGCCTTTGACACCGGATGGGAAGAGGCCGCCATACTGGTCTCCTGATTGT